TTCCTTGAAGTTATAGTGCTTTTAAGAAAACAGACACTCATCTTTTCTTTCTACTTAAGTCACACAAACCTATTTTCTAATTTGAGAAACACCAAAGACATAGCCTATGAATTAATCATCTTAAAACTAAATAAAGCATCACTGCCATACTTATCTTTCCACTTAGGTATCACAAGACAGAACAATTTTTTCTGCTTAAGACAAACTTAGCCTAATAGAACCATAACTTTCCTATACTCGTTCCAAACCAGCATTCAGTAACGCACGCAGAAATGGAAAGAACCACTCACAGGCATTCATTAATCCTGGTAACTTAGCTGTAGCATGAAGACTGTTACACAGAATCATAGGGTCTGGGCTTGAAAAGACCTCTGGTGATCATCAAGTCCAGTGCCCTGCTAAAGCAGGTTCTCTACAGTAGGTTGCACAGGAAAGTGCAAGTGACCTAGTGGGTCCTGAATATCACCAAAGGAGACTGCACAACCTCTCTGGGCAGCCTGTTTGGGTAAGAAGTTTCTATCAGCTGCTTCAGGAGCAGCAAGACAATCTGGAGGTTTTGGAAATTCAGAGACTTTTGTTTTGTTTTGTAAGCATTGAGTTTAACAGCCTAAGCTCTAACAAGCTGCTTTGCAGCAAGAGGATCAGAGAGGAGGCAGGAGGGATAACTGGAAGTTGAGATTGCTTAAGCAGGAGAGGAAAACAACATGGGAATAGAGGAATTAGCATAACGTTTAAAGACCTTTTATACCTGCAAACATGCATGAATACAGTGACAAATCCTTAAACTTGACAGAGAAGATGTGAACTCCTGATTCCATCATGGATGCTTGCAAGCTGAGTCAATGAAGAAGAGACATCCTGATCAAAGGGCTACAGGAAGAAACATTCCTTCTTCTAGAGACATCTCACCTTATATTTCTAAAAGAGAGATCCCCATGGCTGGGCCAGCATTCACCTAATGTCACTTATCAGCAAGAAAACAAAATGAAAAATACTTGATTATCTACTTAGGTCCATATTTAGGCAGCACCCCTTTAGTTCTTCATTTCAACTGTAAGATCAAAACAAATTCAAAATGCTAATGGCTTTTTTTCCTTTCTGAATGGCTCAAAGCAGCATGCATTTACTGAATTTTCCATTTCTGACTAGACTTCCCAGGAAATTCAGATTAAACTAGCTACCATAGGAACAGAATCCTGTAGTGATGTACTCTCTGATGACTGCATGATTGCTGGCAAGGACTCCTTCCAAAAAACAAGCTTTCAGACAAAGTACTCCATGATGGATACAGGAAAGTAGCTAGCTAAGTTATACAACAACATTCCACAGACCCAGAGTCCTCTTCACTGTATTGTGGTAGATACTGGTTTCCTGCATAAAAGAATCCATTAATTTTTGTACAGCAACTAGATTCAAAATTGAACCGTCTTCAAGTGACCTTGGATTTTAGAATGAGTTACAGAAACAAGCACATAAATCTAAACAGGAAATTCACACACACCAAAACCAAACAAATTCTGATTTTAACTATACCCCTTCTTTATTAGGGTCTCCCAAGCAAACATCCACATTATCCCTTGGGATATCAATTACCTCTTCCAGTCGAAAGGAGGAAGAGGAGCCAGTCTACACTCATGCAGCTTAAAATTCAGTGCAACAAAAGGTAAATCAGGCACTTACATGCGTTTAGCAAAAACCAATCATGGCAATTCCATAATTAGACTGTAGATCTTTTACAAACAGCTCAGAGTTGAGAGAGAATTAGAGGACCATCCCAGGTGCACAAGGGAGTCCCAAGAAAAATAAAGAGAACAAACCAGAGATGATAAAAGCCTAGAATAAGAGAGATGGTCTTCCCAATACTTTTCTTGCAAACTTAGATGAAATGGCTCAACTAATTTTGCAAAGAACTATAGATTTTACTACATCTAAAAAATAAAAAATAACTCTAAGTTTGTTTTAATATGACCTTGTTTTCTTCAATTACAGCTGCATAGGTAAAGCCACAAACCTTCTCAGACAAAAAAAAAAAGAAGAGTGAAGGAAAGCAGAGTTCACAGCAGACTTCATCACAAGCACCAACAGTATCAGAATGCTTCTAGTAACACAAAAAGCTGACACCCACAACTCCTGCACTAGCTCACTGGGAGAAAACATCTTCAAAAATAACCACAGTTCTAGTTCTGATATTATAGGAGAATACTGAGTGGCACCTATAGCTCACTGGTGTGACCAAGCCAAATAAAGTTTTATGTTTTCAGAGAAGCAAAGGAAGTTTTAACAGTATGTTCAGTAGTTTTTTGTCCATTAAATCAACTGTTATGCAGATAAATGCAGAAGACAGCACACAAACTGAGTCAGGTGCACCATTCCTAACTTTACATATAAGCTCCGAACAGTAGGAAGGAAGAGAAAAAGCCTACATTCAGATGAGCTACTAGAGAAATGCACAGAACAGATACTCCTTCTCTGCAAACCCAACATACATGCTATACCCAACAGCACTCATGCATCAGAATCAAGATGTTGTGTTAGTAATCAGATGCACCATTCTCCAACTGTATCAAATCTGTCTCATTCCTATCTCACACATGCTAAATATTACAAAGGTAAAAACTTCAGATCTTCATTGTAGAAGATCCACATATAATTCACTTAACTGTATATTTTCCCAATTCATATAAGCAATTTCTGCTTTACCACCGAAGGAAATACTCTTTACATTTGCAACTCACTACTCAAATGTGTTGCATTTCTTTTTCAAATGTTTGGTCTAGGCAGAATTAAAACAAATCCCTTCTACAAAAGCTATTGTTGAGATAACAACACAAGCTGGCTGAGCTAAAACACTGTAAGAAACTTTTCTTGTACTCTCTGTAGTTTAATATTCTCAACAACATTTTACTTCTAAGTCAGTATAAGCTTAGGCCACTAAGAACATGTAACAGCTCAAAAGCATCAGGAAAACATGGTACAACTAAAGCCACGACGTTTGTAGATCAATGGTACTATCTTATGAAACATCCTTTAAGTAAGTACTGTATAAAATGTGACAAACATTTACTGAATTGCAAGGACGCTCCGTTTGATGCATTTTAAACTTCTGAAATCCCAATTAAAAACCAAACAAAAAGTGAACGAGTAGATGAGTAACAGATCAGATGATAACAGGCAGTCTCAGACAAAAATTACTTTTATGCATACAACTAAAGGAACATGTGTTGGTAGGAATGTTCTCATTCTCTAATTCCACAAATGAGATTTCAGCAGTAGGGGATTTTTAACAGCTATATTCCAAAGTTAAGACAATCATAACAAACATTAAGCATAAGCATATTCATGAGAAGGCAAACACTTTGATTCTACTGTAATAATGTATGTCACTACCACATCAATATTTGCCATGGTTTACCATGAAAATGACTGAACTTCCCAATTGCTTTTGCTCTCTGCATAGACTACAACTTGCCCAATACTTCTCAGCTACAAATCTCCATCTCCTCATTAGAGAAATACAGATTGCGGTAGCCTGGAAAAAATAAAATTCCATCCTTTCAGAAACAAACCATAATAGCAGACTTATTATCACACTAATGCTTTCCAAGAGACTATCTCAAAAATTTATTTTATTCTAGTATCTCCAGAGAAGTCCTTCCCTTGCAGTCTTCTGAAAAAAAGAGAAATAAACCAAAAGATTGACAGTTCAACCTTACAGATGGCTCCAAGTAGAAATGGAAAATATTAACTAATGAATATAAATTTATTCAGGGCTCTATGTGGTCTCATTAGCCAAGGTTAGGCCTAATTAAAACTTCATACAAGACTCACATGAAAAGCCTAAGCTGGCTGTTGCAGATCTGAGTTTAAAGTGGGTGCTGACCACTGCATAGGTATATCTAGAGGAACTGCTCTGCTGCACGTTTCCTGCTTTTAAACAACAAATAAATGTTCTCAGTGTTGTCAATATATATACCACTTGTGGTACTATACTTTCCAAAGAAACTAGAAAAAGAACTTCTTTCCTGTCTAATTCTGACACTCATCTTCAGAGTCATCACAACATCACATGCTGCTTCTGCTGGCTATGCATATCAGTTACTGTTTCTTTTCCACACTGGTGCTAGACATGCTGCACAGAAACTCAGGAGGACAGGGAGATAAGTACAGGTTCCAGACTTTAAACTTCCTCCTCTACCAGATTGTATATCTACCTTTAGTGCCATAGGGCACTAAAATACTCCAAACTGAGAGGTTTATAAGACTTGGAGCTGAGAGGACACGGCCTCCAAAGACAAAATGACTACATTTTCAAACAAGCATTTGGTACCAAAAGTCCTTAACAGCAAAACTGCATGCTTTTCCTTTTGTTTCCTGGATTCTCCAAGAAAAAGAGGCCGCAACATCTCAGACAAAACAGACTTAACACTGAAGGAACCAAAACTGTAGGTGTCTGTAAGCCTTGTCCTTGGGGAAAAACAACATTTATCTTTCTAGCCTTCAACACATGTGCTCAATTATAAAAAGAAAAAAAAAGAATCAAACACAACCCAAACAACACTGATACTTGCAGTAAAAAGAATAATAATAATCTCTTCAGTGTTGGGCCTGCAACATTCCAAATGATGAGAAAATACTAGGAGAAAAAAAAAAGGCAAAAAAAAAAAAAAAAAAAGACAAAACCATACAACTCATCCCATATGTAAGAACTTCCCCTTGTTACTAGCTTCCCCAACCCATGAGTGTCAAGTTAAACACCTATTCTTTGAAATTGATCCAGCCGAACTAAAATCAAGTTTGTTTTTTTTAAAAGCCACACAAAATATTTACAAAAATGTTTCTATCAACAAGAGGCACAGCTGAACTAAGTAAAGGACTTCCATTAGTAAGTACCAAGTGTCACTGTTTCAAACTTTTAAAAGTGAAACTTCAACTGCAGAGTAAGTAGGCTACTACATTAAGAACATGAGCAGAAAGAGCCACCCTAGTGTTCACACACATACCTTTGTCCTTCTTGAAATCCAAAGCATCTTCCTTATCTGTCACTATTTCCTTCATGTTGATAATGCTTTGGTGATTAAGCTGTCGAAGAATTTTAATCTCCCGAATAGCTGTAATTGGAAACCCTTCCTTTTCATTATCCAATCGAACTTTCTTTAGTGCCACCAATTCTCCTAGGAGAAAATGAAAATTAAAAAAGATCAGCAACAAAATTATGGGGCTTCAGTTTCCTTTGTTTTAAAAATCCATCCCATTTGTTACTGTTTAGTTTTATAATCTCCATTCAGAAATAGTTAAGATTTTGGTTCATGCATCGTGCCAAACAGAAACAAAATTAATTCGTGTTGGGAAACAAAGATATAGAGAAACAATTATAAATGAGAATTTTTAGCTAACCTCTATAATAACCATCTTCCACACGTACACATCACTCGTGTCCTATCTTCCACACCAGGTCTACCAATAAATCCCTACGTAAGAATGGTTCTCAGCAGCAGCTTTAGAGACAGAGACCTATGTTTGCTATGGTTTTATCACTTTTATACCACCACAGGTGAGAACGTACAAGAAAGTGAACTGCTCTCCCAAGGGTTTGATCAGAAAGCAAAACAAAGACTGACATGTACCTTGGGAATTGAGATGTTCTACAGGGAGGCCACCAATAGCAATGCAAAGTCACAACCTCCTTTGCTGTCTTGTAACTAGATTAAGTAGAAGTTGGATTCCAAAACAGTCCCTTGTTCAATCAATCCAATAAATAAGGTAAGCCTTCCTGAATACTTTCAAGTCTGTTGACAACAAGAATGTGCCTTGCATGTTGAAGAACAAATACAAAATACTGCAAGTACAAGAACAAAGTTTCAGGAAAAAAATTGCTAGGACAAAGACAAAGAAAAGTGCAAACTGATTTATTGATTCAACATTTCTCACTCATTAGCAAGTTCAGTAAGGAGACAGCTACCAGAAAAGAGAGGACAAAGGGCCTCTGCTCTTCATGAGAGGAGCAGAAATTCAAGTAGAATAGTTGACCTGTATATAGCACAAGGCTGAGAAGAAAGGTACAGATGATACCAACACTCAGAAAGGCAAAACGTAGTGTCAGAAAGATTACTGTGGACATACTGTGACTTGCAGAATAGCTTAATCTGGAGAGAAAAGGCACATCCTGACTGTGCAGGGTTAGAGGTCTCTGAGGTGGCATTTTCAGAAGGCTCAATTGAAATGGCAGGAGGCACAGCACTGAGGAACGCTGGCCACCAGGAGAGCATAGTATTTTTATCAGAAGTTCCTCTGGCCAGTATAAGAACTAAAACACTAATAGAAGCACTTAGACTCTGGAGTAAGTAACGCTTGTTTCCTTCCCCAGGTCATGAAAAAGACCTTCCAGAGAGTTTTCCTCTAAACTCAATGTCCTGATACTACACATCTGAAGTTGTTTTCCCTCAAAGGGAAGATCTTATACTATGTACCGATTCCCACTGAGTAAGCTTCAGAACCACAATCATGTTTTTTTGTGTTTTTTTTGTTGTTATTTTTTAAAACTCTATAGCAGTCAAGAAGGTATAAGCATCCATACTGCTAAAGAAAAAACCCTATAACTGATGCTCACAACCTCACAACTTTGTTAATAAAGGCTATTATTGCATTATAATAAAATCCTTAGGAAGGCAATGTGAGACATGACAGTTTAGTTAGAATTCTCACGCATGTATCTAGAGAGAAATACTACACAGTTCAAGATGCAAGGCAAACAACTCAAGAGACCTAATATTTATCAGTATACTTACTATGCACAGAAGTGGCACTGTTGTGTTTACAGTGAAGAGAAATTTCCCGTATTTGTTTTATTGCAGCCTAAGCTGGATGAAGCTAGATTCTGCAAACTGGAAGGAGCCTTATGTACCCATGATGGAAGATATCTAAAGAATGTACATCAGCTTAATAATTTTGGGTTTCTTTTTTAATAGATTTCTTGAGCTCAAATCAGTTAAATCTAAAAAGACCTTATTCCACACCTCTGCGTATTGAACATATGCAACATATCACATTCCAGTATGATTCAAGATAAATTCAGCTGGAAACAAAGGAATAGCACACGAGTCATCAGGGATAATAACTTGTGATATCTCTAAAAGTTGAGGTAGACAACAGACATTCAAGTTTACACTGTGGTTGTCCCAAGAAAAAGTTAATGCAGAGGGCCCGCAACCATAAGAATGCACAGTAAAGTCCTTCCCTCAGAGATGGAAAATAGAGGATACCATTGGACCTCAAGGGGCCCAAAAGTTACTTGCATACTCTTAGATTTATGACAATCCTTCAGACAAGAAAAGTATAACAAGATACCTCACAACTCAAACCAGGTATGACAAAAACCTAGGATTGTGATATAGGAGTGAGATAGATCCTAATGCTGAAGCTTATGTCTTCCTAAGTATATCAAACTGTTCTTAAACTTCAAAAGATACTGCCTCTCAGATCATGCCAAGAAGATGGGATGATATACAAAACTGTACGGAAGATGGGAATAACACGGGATCTACTGAAATCTTTTTATCTTTTAAATTTATGTAAGAATAATTATGCAGTTTTCCAGGCACCATAAGATCAGCTCCAGAAAAGACAGTGGTGCAGGTACTAGAGATCACTGTAACATCAAAAGCTGCAAAAACAAGAGAAAACTGATTAAATGCCCTTCATTTTGAGCAAACTAGTTGTTCAAAAAGCAACTGCTGCAAAACCTGCTGCTTTGACAGAGCTATTGGTAGTTGTTGCAACAAAGAGGCAGGACAGGCACCATTATACAAAAAAGTAAATTATCTTGTTAGCATCAGAAATATTCACTAAGGACAGAACATGAATTCAAACCACCTCTGCTCTCAAAAGTCACACTTCAAAGATGTGGCATCAGCTTGAACTGGTGTCTGAAAGAGCAGCTGTGCACTCTCTTCAATCTTGCCTTGAAAAACCCATTGCAGTGCCTATTATAAGATAGTTTGAAGGCCATAAGGTTTGGAAAGGTGGAAGGTTTGCTCTTAACCATACAGGCCCATCCAGTCTAGAGAGCAATAACTTCTGCAAGAGGTTAGAAAATGACTGCCACAGACAAACAACCAGAAGCTTGGTTGTAATTGGATTAGAAAGCTAACTGTACAAAGACCACAATCTCAGGAAGGCTGGAAGAAGCTGGAAGAATGATGTGTAATGGCTCCAAAGGTGCGACTTAAGAAAAGATTTGTGACAGTTCAACTAGAAAACCTAAGGCTTGAAAATTCAGACAAGAATGGAAAAAGAAGCACAATTACACTGCTCATTCTTCTGGAGATCAGAAAGAAGGCTGCTATGTGATCATACGTGCTTCAGCTACTGCTGAAGTAGGAAATTATACAGCACAAATAAGCCAGAAGGGCAAGGAGTCACAAGAACTACTGATTGAACTTAAAACCAACGAGCAAGGTACAGCACATCTGTGGAAACAGATTTGACTGTGTTATCTATTTAGAAGCAGTGACAACATTCCTGCATATCATAATGGTGATTGCTTGCTCATTTCAGCAATAGTTTAAGGTGAGATCTAGAAGTTAGGTCTCTGCTGTGCTGTCAGCTATACTGTAAGAAAAATATCTGATATGCAACATTTCAGGACTGCACTGCACAGAGATATATTCTCTTCCTACTAGCAGCAAATGCCAGAGTACAAAGAAGGAAAACAGCTAAATCTCACACCCACCTTAATTCATTTTTGCAGCCTCTTTACAAACTTCATTATTCTTTATCATTCTATCAGTGTTACCATTTTGTTTCCTCAGAGTACTTACCCTCTTTTCTTCACTACTTCATATTGTGTACTGAGCATTGAAGTTCAAGAAATCTGACTTTAAATAGAGATTAAGACTACCCAGCATATACTTTCAGTCACAGCTTTACAAATAGATGATTTTTAAGACAGCAAAAGATAGACAAATGTGAGATTAAAAACAAAGCACACAACTAAAATATTTCAAAACGTTAGAGGAAAGAATAAGATTTTATTCAATTATAAAAACAAACAAAACCCAAACCCACTGACTTCAGAATTGCAGGAGTAACTTCACACTTTTTAACCTACCTGTGTCTTTATCCCTGGCTTTGTAAACTTGTCCATAAGTGCCTTCACCAATAATACCAATGATATCAAATTTATCCACACAGCGTTTTCCCCAGTCTATTTCTTTTTCTTTTGTTTCACCATGTCGTGGTCCACATATTCTAGAAAAAAAGGATTTTAAAGAATATAGCTACTTGAAGAATGCAGCTAATATATACACGGATCATCTTAACCTTGAAGTAATTCAACACTGAATATTCATGAGACATTATTAAATAACAACCTTACTACCACTAACCAGCAGCTATTACTACAAACAATGCAGTTTGATTTAAGACTATGTAGTATGAAGGAAGCTGTTACAAAGCAGAAGCACTTCGAACAGAATACATTTTTAGGAAACTATTATCACTTCTGCTCCCATGGCAGACTTTAAAATAAAAAAATAAAATAAAATAAAGTAATAAACATACTTTGGTCTCCTCTTGCTGTGTAACTGAACTGTTGGTTTCTTTTCTTCAGGACTTTTGCCTAACTCAGCTCCTCCAGGCAACTCAGGTGGAAGTGGCAAGTCTGCAAGCAGATGGCGAAGTTTCTTCTCTGTTTCTTTAACTGACTTCACTGTAATATTCTCTCTCAAGCTACTAAAAAAGAAACAATTTTGCTAGGACATTGAACACAATACAGTGGTATTAAAACAAAGAAAACCTACTGGAGTTCTTTTTGTTGTTGGTACATTCTAAGCTGCTGATACACTAACATTGCTCCCAGAATTGACAGAAATTGAATTTAAGCATTACAAATGAGTTGTGAACAGCTCTAACCAATGCACAGCTGATTATCAAAATTCTACAGAAAATGAGATCAGATGCTAAGACGTCACATTTCTGATGAAAGCTGGTGCTGGATGACATTGCCCATCTTCAAAAAGGGCCAGAAAGGTGATCCTGCTAGCTACAGACCTATCACTCTCACCTCGGTGCCAGGAAGGATATGGAACAGATAATCTCAGGAGCCGTATGGAAACTGTTGAGTCACAGCCTAAACCACTGAACGAACACCTCAGGAAAGAGCCCCATCAGCTGTGGGGTGAAGGCAATTCAGCTGCACGAGCAGAAGAGGTGGAACATGGCTCCACCTCTCTTAGACCCCATTTAAGTGCTGACTGCCCTGTGGAAGGATCTCCGAGATCCCTCCCTCATGGAGTCTTTCCTGTGAGCCTAGATCTTCAGGGATGTGTGAGCATTTGTCCTTTGTAACACCCATCCGCACTAGTTGCTTTGCTGTTACACTCCTCTATTGCCTTTCCACTGCATTTATCTTTCCAATTGTAACAGGAGCCATCACAGATCAATCAAAGGTCAACCAGGGCATCAGGCTCAGTCAGCATGGGTTCATGAATGGTAGGTAGATCCTGTCTGACAAACCTGGTTTCATTCTATGACAAGGTGACCCATTTAGTGGATGAAGGTAAAGCTGTCAATGTGGTCTACCTGGACTTCAGTAAAGCCTTTGACACTCTCCCCCACAGCATCCTTGTGGAGAAGCTGGCTGCCCACAGTTTGGATGGGTGTACGCTCTGCTGGGTGAAACACTGACTGGA